GATTATTGTAAACAATATTTTCTACGCCAAAATCGTTTTATTATATTATACAATAGTGTAAAAATATTAATAGAATTCTACTGAAGTATAACAATAATATTTTCTAACTACAGCGCCAAAAGTTGATCATATGAATTGACTTTTCGTATAGAGTGGAAAAAAGAAACAAACAAATAGTTCTACTAAAATACGCCACGTTTTAAACATAACATAATATACCCAAAACTAATGACTAAAATATAATTTTGAGCTTTTGAGTTCCATTGAACTATTCATATATGAACGTCGTTCAATAAATATAAACTCGAGTGAGACAAAAAATACATCACATAAAACTCTGTTGTTTTCTCTTAACCAAAATAAATTACATGTCATAATAATATAGACAAACAAAACATACGTGCGTTAACAACTCCTATAGATATATCTAATATTATATATGTAGTAAATTTCTAATAACTCATCAAAGTAACTTTTAATTTATTTTTAAAGTGATAATTTAAACATCAAACTATTATTTTACAATATATTAAAATATTAATAGCAAATTACTATCACTATCAAGTCTTGGTGAAATGATTTAAATTAATATTGATCAAAAAAATATTAATACGTAAAGCATAAATAAGAAAAAATGTAATAAATAATGCTGTTATAAATTGAAAACGTAGAACAATAAATTAAACAAAAACTAACTGGAAAAATATATCGGTTTTTAAAAATAAAATAAATTAACAATCGATAAGAGAACAATTTTACAGTTTATACGACCGTCAACAACGTATATGTGTGTAAGCCATAAATAAAATATTGACAATAAGGTATTTATCACAAATTAATGATTATCAAAACTATATTGTAGTATTGAAATGTAAAAAAAAATTAGTTTTAACTAAACATATTTTATTAATAATTTAGGAGCACTTTCTATATTGTTAACTATAAATTAGGTGGTTTGCTTAAATTAACTCAACAATTGATTACCCAGGTAGGTAACAATTTTATTTGTTAACGTCAAAACGTATTTCTCAAGCCGTTTTCACATATTATCATTACAATAATTTGTATATGTATTTAAATAATAAGTATTTTCAAAGTCGCTGTCATTTTTTATGTTTTATGTATAATTAATAAAACACGATGGAATTTATTTTGTACATTGTATCAAGCTTAACGAATTCGTGAGTTTTAAACTTTATATATTTTTTTAATATCTTTTAAGTACTTTTGGATGATTTAAATATGTAAGCACAGTTAGATTTTTACCAATGAACTATTATCATTGTTTGACATCTTTATCACATAAGTAAATATTAATTATCATTGAGTCCAGAGTAGATAGAACAGTTGGAACTTATAATATAAAATCTTAAAAAAAAAACAATGAATACATATAATATTTTCAAATATATGCATATAATATATCATTATCTTGTAAACATCGTTTGGAAGCATTATTACTCACAGTACAAATTCCACATAAGTGTAAAGTGTGGTGTTCTATGTGAAAATCTCGTATACGCATTGTCCCGAGGGGTTGAGAATTTGTGACGGCATTATGACGAAAATATTTAATGTATTATGCTTCAAATAATATAAAATATATTCATCAACAACTCAAAACGAATATTATTAAATTACTGAACCGTTTGAAAAAGAACATTATACATATATATATTTATTTAGATATATATTAAAGGAGAAAAAATTATTAACAGTTACCATAGACGAGAAAAACATTTTTTTATTTTTTATTAACAAAGAATATGTTTTTTTTTTATGAGTTAATATTAATTCCAAATACTGACGACTTTTATTAATATTTATCTTTCGATGAGTATGAAATGATTTTATTTTATTTTTAAATAATTCTAACATATTATTTTGTAAATATGTGTTATCATAAAATATAATACTATACCTATTAGTTATTGAGTCTTTTCAGTTTATTAAATAATTGAGATTACGTTATACGTATTATATTATTCTTTTTTTAGATTGAATTATCTAAGATCTAAAAAAATAAAATTCTCGATAATTATAAATATTACTTTTATATTTAAACTTTCAACTTTTTCCCTTTTTACTGAAATTTTTTTGACTATTCAATTACTTTACTGATCACAATATTTTATACAAAATACGATATAAGAGAAAAATCTATATTTAAATGAAAGTCTTATAAAAAAAAAAAAAACTAAAATCTTACAGCAAAGTTGTTTTTCATTTTAAATATTTGTTTTTTTTTCATGTTGTTTTAATTGTTCTAATTTTAATTAAGTTTTTTAAATTGTATTATTTTAAATATAACAAATCTAACACTATATATATCGTTAATATATTCCGTCAACATTTAAAAAATTTGCTGCAATAGTTTTTATACCTTAAGTCTTATATTATTATAATGAAATGAGAATATTCGTAAACTTACTAAACTATAATTAATTATCAACAGTTTTAAAGAAAGAAAAATACAAATATATAATACAGAAACTGATTTAATTACTCAGTTGAAATCTAAAATCGATTGAACCCAAAATGAGAATTTTTTGTTTATGATGCCAAATTATTTTTTATAAATATACGATGAGTATAAAATCTATAAATATTTTAATAATCGAGCACCTATAAAAAAATTTAACGTACGCGCCTATCGAAGAACGGATCTGCTGCTGCAATATTGTAGATGTTGCTGATACTAATATACTACCTACTATACTGCAAGAACCACGCCATCGTAATGACAAATTTACAGACATAACCAATAGACTCTTATCAGTTTTTTACCAACTATAATTGTCCATGATATTATTATTAACCATTCCAAGTCCCTGTGCACTCAATAAAAACGAGTTTTTGCCGTACACAAAATATTATACAATATAAGCTTGCAATTTTTTACTAGTTAATACCAAAAAATACAATCATAACCTATTAATTAAAACAGATTAAAACTAATACATTTATAAAAACAGAATATTACAATAAATTAAAATTATCGAATTTAAAAATCAACCAACACTAATAAATCAACATTGAGAACAGTATCTTTGTCTTTTCAATTAGTAGTAAGAAACTATTTGCTATATTTTATCTTTTTTTCCTACAATATGTAATATCACACATTAGATTTAACTTTCAACTTAACAATGTGTTACATTGTTTTACAATTATTTAGAATTTTATAACTTAACACTCATTCTTAAGTTATATTGTACATTTTAACTGTGTGATCTTAGAATTTAAACATATATTCTATTATTAATACAAATCATTGAACTATATTTGTTCTAGCCTACAATTCAGTGAAAAAATATGTTGTTATAAATGATAGGTGCTATCTCTATACTTAATAGATAAAACTGATAAATCAATATTTATAACAAAAAATATAGAATCTATTTAATTCCATTAAAAGTTAATAAGCAATGTATTCACTACATATTATGTATATTGTATATAGGTTTTGTATATAGGTTTTGTAGTATTTTTTTTTTTTTTTTTTACTAGTAAATGGCACATCCTGACATACCATGTCTAAAGGTTGCTTTTATAGGTATGAGGTGAATCATCCTCGCATCACACTGCTGTGTTAGAAAATTTTAGCCACTACTTACGATATATAGTCTTCAGTCGTTTACACAGTTAACTAATGTGCAGAAACGTATAACTGTGTATTATGTGCAGTAATTTTGTATAAATAATATAGTTTTTTTTTTTTTTTTTTTTAATCGATTAAATTATATAATAACGTTATCACCATCCTCATATAAGTTATAATAGTATTACGTCTATATATTATATCATGTAATAATATGTAATTGCATCATGTATGTATATGTCATGCACATATTGCAAGCATAATAATATATGCAACAATATACATAAACCATTTACTAGGATCATTGATATTATCCTATATTTTTATACGACCCGTATAATAGTGCCAGTATTTTACCTTTGTTTTACCATATTTTTAAAATTAATAAAGCAAAAATCTGCATAAAATTATTCTTTTTGATTAAAACAGATGTATATAACCAATTAAAAATATTCTATAAAACAGAATGTGTTTAACAGAAACAGACTGTGTCATCAATGTATAATATGGTAAATTACTTAGTAAAACTAAATTTAATCATTAAATATGACATCCACTAAAACTTCTATAAATACTATACATGTCTTATCTATCGTGAAAAGGGTAATAAAACGTCGAAATAATGTCTTTGAAAAAGAACATACCTGTTATTATTTTATTATATATTTATAGTTTTTCGAACTTGCTCAATTATAAATTTTAATTAACACAAAAAATTATTATTAAGTGAAAAAAATTTATTTAATACATTTTTTAAACTATTTTTTTTTCAATTTATCAAAAAGCTTTGTTATTAGGAAAACAAAAATATAAAAATTATTTATTAAAAAAAGTCATTTATTTTTTTTTTTTAATTTGTATACATTCTGTATTAATGATAACAAGTTGTTTATCATCAATTTGTATTTTTATTTAAATTAATTTAATTTAATATATTTAAATATATTAAATTCAAATTTAATCTAAGATAAATCTTCTTAAATTAAAAATATTTTTAATCTTATGACTTTTTCTATAAGATTTTAATGCATGTATGAATGTTTAGAATTCACATAAATTGTTAGTAAATTACTTGTATCTAAATATTATATTTATTTATATAATCGAGAATAAAATGGAAAAACAAATATTATTTAGTAATTTAAATATCTAGTTATTTTGTGCACCTTTTATCATAATTCATCTAGTGAAATATGTATAAAAAGTTATATGTAAAGGTATATCTATGATATATCGGTTTTGAAAAATAATTTACTTGTAATATGATTTTTATATCATAATAATATAATTAAATTTTATTTTATTTTCGACGTGAAAACTCAAATAAATTAAAAGATAAATTGTTTTGGGCAGACTTTCATCAAAAAAAAAATGAAATATAAGGGAAATCGGCATAAAATCAAAGTGTAATAACGCCTTTAATGCACCTAAATCTCTATAATTATATTACATAAATCTGGAACGACAGTAAATGATTTCGTGTACAATTCGACATCAGTGCATTATTGTACATCATTATAACGTTATACGATCAACATAATAATACAATTGGACATTATAATAAGGGACTGCGTCTATAGACATTTGCAAAAAATATATTATTCGATGAACGTGTACGGGAATCTCTCGGGTGAACGGACGCGAACGAAGATTGTAAGATTAAATAGGTGTTATAAATTACGGTCGTTGCGACTACTGTATAGTTTTTCCAGTGTCGGTGGCCGGAAAACGAGCTAGTCTATCACCGAAAAACCGCGCAGTGCCCATTTTACGCTGTCTCCTCTTCACCCACCTATTGCCACCATTAACGATATTTCCTGACGGCGGTGGCAAATCATCGTTATCCGGCAGCACTAAGAAAGCGTCCGTCCGATCGACCTTCTTCACATCACCACTAGTTGTGCAGTCTACTACTTTCAGACGGAACACCGGTCTTTTTACGATGCGTCTGGGACTTCTGAAAAACAAATCCACAAAGGTTAGGTCAAACAACAACAATAATCATGATTATAATTCTATATTTATTCAACTTATTTTTGTCCAATCACACAATTTTTTTTTTAGTAGTGATAACAATATATGTTAGCACGTCACCCGAATGTAAAACAAGCACGTAAACGATAAATCATAATTAGTATTATATTATAATAAAAATTTTTTTTTTTTTTTTAATCAAACAAATACAGTTGGTTGATAAAATTATTCACTAAACGAGAATTTAATTCAAAAGAAGAACAATTTCTGCAAGTTAGGTACACATTTTAAAAGATTAATTTTCTTTGGTTATAAAACCATGTTCGAGCTTATTATCACAGACCTTTTGTAGGTATGTCGTTCTATTTATGTACACTGTAGCATAAATTTATAAAAATATAATATATATTATATAATACCGTCTACAGACTATACATATAAGTTAATTGATTCCGATTCCATAACGAGAATATTGCATGATTTTTTTGGGTAAAAAAAAGAAATTTGGTCTACAATCATTAATAATTAATTTATACCTTGTTATATATTCGAGCTATTTTCAAAGTTATACATTCCGTTTTCCAAATGCCGGGTCACCGAAATAAGTCAGCAGCAGGTGGTAATATGCAAAGGATATTAATGTCATAGTGAATAAAACACATATTTTACCGGTGTATGACGTGTCAAACGCTTAAACTCGTGTTGGACGTTGTCAAAGTTATTTTCGTCATGCGAATATTGCTTTTGGTAAGAGTTAGGAGTACTTGTCAGTTTGTTACACTTAATCAATTTCAACTTAACGCTTAACGCGAATATTTCGCATCAAGAAAACGGGATAGAGTTTATCACCGATAAAGTAATTACAAAGCTGCCATCGTATTTGATATGAGATGGCGAGAGACAAAGCACGTATCAACTTTTTCCTTCGTCATAAGCAAATTGAAACAAAAAGATTAGCTTGAACAAATAACCTAGCTTAAAAGTAAACGGCACATAAATAATATAACATTAATAAGTAACATGTAATTTTATACAACGGCGCTTTGTATATGCAATTATGATACACAAAACGTGATGTAGATAAAACATTACTAATGCTACAACTTTAAAATCAAAAATATTCTATACAGTATCATTATTCAGATTTATAGCTAACTATATTTTTATAATAAAATAAAGTTAATTAAATATATAATTTTTTAAACAAACTATTAAAATAAGACAAAAACAGTATTTTGAGATTCTTAAGTTGAAAACAAATTAGTATTTTTATCAATGATTTATCTGATTTTTCAATAAAAATAGATTCCTGTGATCGCATCTGAAGATCATTGCATAACAGTTCTCTAATACATTTCGTTGTAATATATTTTATAAAAAAAATCATTGTATTTTTTGTATGTACGTACCTAATATCTATTTATTAATTTATAGTTTTTTTATTTATATTTTTTACAACATGCATTTTTATAATATATTATAAATTTAAAGTAGAAAAGCTATTTACATATTTTTTTTTTCATGACACAACAACATTTATACATATTTCTTTCGATTTTCAATTGCACTGATACAAAATTTGTTGTTCATATTTGTGATCTAAAATATTTAGCACAACTGACAACCTTTTTTTTTTTTTTTTTATTTCAGTATATGTAACTTAAAACCACTTATTGTGATAATTTTAATAACATAATATAATAATAATTATAGCTAACATAACCCGTGCCTGTACTTGCAGTCATTAGCTAGTGTATGAAGCATTTTTCGAAAATATATTTTTCAGCGTACACGCATCCAAAAAAAAAAACAAATAACTAGAAAGTATACCACTGTTATAATTTTGTGCATGCATAACAAAATATTACAACATTATCATACGATAAAAATTTTTTTTAATATGGTTAAAAGGCTGTTTTCTTTATTAATATTATCATCAAAATTATTTTAATATTATTCTCCGCTGTTCCTTCCTCGTATTGCAATTCAACAAACTCATTTAATTTATAAATTTGTATACTCCAGTTTCCATAAGCTGTTTTTCAAACTTCGTTTTATTTAAGAAATATTTTTATTTTTATTACAAATTGTACCCAAATAACTTGCGATAACAAAACTCAAGTTCCGTGATAGTATTACATGGAATTAATATTATTAACTTTGTATTCATACTGTACCATTTAATTTTTAAGATTATTTTTTAATACTAGCATATTTATCTAAGAAAATTATTACAATCTTTACTCATATTGTTTTTCATGTAACTGAAATTTGTTACATTACGATTATTTCCATTTAAAACAAATTAGATCTTAAATGCATCGAAAAAATTAAATTGAAAAAAATGTTTTATATATATATATATTTTAAAACTTAACTATTAGGTATATTTCAATATAAACTATTTTCTACTCTGTTACTGCAACAATATATCACAAATAAACTTATGGTATATTTTAATAAAATATACTTTTTATTTCATGAACAAAATAACATAAAACTTTTAAAATTTTTAAAATATAAAAACATTTTGTCTTATTTTAATATTTGATATTGCCTACATTTTGTGATATGGTTAAAAGAAAATTTTTACTGTTTAAAATAAACCATTTTGATGGATTTCATAAATATTAATTCACTTCTAAGGCTATTAGAAAAATATTTTTCAATAATATTTACTTATATAGAATTTATTTCAAGAATTTAAATTTACTTCTGAATTCTCTAAATGTTATTTTATTATGAACTTTGGATAATCCTCAAATTCTAAATGTATTCAAACTATCAAGCTATAAAGTATGAAGAATAATTAAAACTTACGAAATTAATTTTCTTAAATTGTTTATTATTTATTACTAGTGTTATAAAAAATCAAAATCCAGTCCGTATTTATAAAATAGCAAAGCATTTTAGCCTTTATAAGAATTAAAACATTTATTTTATAAAGCGCAGCAGACAAGCCATTAAATTACACGTCGCATCTAATTCAAAACTATGGACTAGTTTTAAAAAAATGTCACACACCTTATGAGTATTTCAATCCCACCGTAAAACTTCCCCACACAAAGCTTAAGCGTTCAGCTATATTATTGTCAAGTCAAGCAGTCACACAATATCATCTGCACACAACTATAAATGATAGCCATGAATATACGTTGAATTTACTCGGTTTGGGACTGTCCACCGGCGACGGCGATGAACCGCGCAGGCCGAAGCAACATGCCGCTGTCCCGGGTCAAAATCATTTCCTTCATACTCTCATCGAACAGCTGCCGCCTTGTGGTTGAACTACTTGACTCCTTCGGAACAAACTCTTCGTGCTGGTCTTTGAAGCCCAAATATAGAAAATGTATTATCATAAAATACATATGACGTATTAGACACACAACAATTAAATCCTTTGGCCGATCGAAGTTTGGAAGTAAAGACGACAAAACGGTATTAAAAGATTCCTCGGGTCGAAAACAATAATAATAAAAAAATGTAATTTATACGTTAAATTTTGTCACGAACGGCTTTTCCTATATTCAAACACCCTTTATTTTATCGTTTTCATCGTAAACCTAATAACCCGAATTCATCATGTCCCATAATACGCGTGCCAACATATTATCGAAACTCTGTCAAAAACACGCGAATAACGACATCGCATATACGATGTTAAAACAGTATGGTCTTCCCTAGACTTACAATCTTTGATAAAAAAATTGCAATAAAACATATAATAAAGCATTAAAATACATCATATTACGTGTATTATAAATTATAATAATATATAGGTCGAATTCACAACATGAACACGTTTTATTACAATTATTTTAATATTTTCAATGCACGACTATCATTATATGACTTACATAAACACGTGGTTATCGTTAGACAGATTATAAGTACCACAGTAACCACTAGACATAAGAGTCTAGTTAGGTTAGATTCAAAGATTAGAAAAAAATTACGACCGTTGATGTACAACAAATAATATTCAAGGATTTACTCGACAGAGTTAACGAGCTTCATGATATTATAAAAACCAACTTATTATTATTGTAGTGTTGGGGGAATTCAAGACATCCTAACAGTCGATTTAAGGTTGATATTTTTATACTGTTGCCACGCGTAAGGTCATTAAAAAAATCAAGAATTGCTATGGTGAAGAAATGGGTCAAGTATCTATGTATATGGGTATTATATAAATTTTGCTTTTGAAATTTTCCGGAAGTATTACATGTCATAATAAAACATTTTTTGTCTGCGACACAAACACCTGTGATGAGAAGATGCGGGTATCAACATCGAAAAAGTATTTATTATATTTATGCATATTAGATACATGAACATGCGTTCATCTTATCAAGGACAATCGTCCTTAAAATTGAAAAAAAATGTTCGATTAAACTCAATCCATGAACCCAAATACAGTTAAGTTTTATCAGAAAACGGTTACTCGCTTGTAAATAATCTTCGATGCGTTTTTCACGACTTTCTCGGAAAATACAATGCGGACATTCAAAAAACGACCTTTAGATAGTCTAATATATATAAATTACAGTATAGTGGACGGGTTCGATTTTTAACGCATGAAGAGGTGCAAAAGTTTTTAGGCCCTTAAAAAAAAATCTTGCTTCTAAAAGGAAAAAAACATATAAGCACACTGTACCGTCGTAAACCAGCTACAGCCATAGCTGAACCTATGAATTGTTCACCCCAACATGCTTCGGACACTTCACCTTTTATTATATATCACACTTCTCCCCTCATCCCTTACATATACGATAACTATTATATATCAATATAAATAATTATTATATAATTGATATAGACAATCTTTATTAATAATCATACCTCTTATCACAATCGATAAAAATTTAACCATCTTTAAATAATATATTATTTTATTATCATAGAATCATAGAGAGTTTAGAATTTTTCATTACTATGGAAACAGTTCGATAGAAAGAGAAAATTCAAATTGTTTAAAAAAATATTTAGATTTAATTTATGAAATCAAAATTTTAAGAAGATATTTATGATAATAGACTTAAAAATTTTTGTTGTGAATATTTTCAATGGTTTCAAACGATAATAAAAATACACGTAATCTACGTACATAATGAGTGTTTGCTTTCAAAGTCGCCTTGTTTACAATAATATACAATTTAAATTTAAAGTTACTATCAGTTCTTTGTGGTACACTCTGTACATATATATGAATATGATTAATGATATACTTTGTTTTGTGACGATTGTGCACGATGATAATATCACTTAACCTATATAATGTTATTGAACGCATTTACCTTGGTCGATGACGTCCGGATGTGGGGTAACCGGATACTTGCGATAATTGGCCATTTGCTCGGTCTCGCCATCCATCAACCCCTCATCCATCCTCAGCCCAGTGTTTGGTCGCAAGTTTTCCGCCCGCCGTCCGTCTGGATGTGGCACATACTGGTCGTGCTGTTCAGACCTAACACCGATGCCTTCCAGTTCCGGGTCGTCTGCGCACACAAACGGTCCAATATGACTTCCCTGACGGGCAGCCACATTCCGTTCCCTGGGATAGTCTTTGTACCGTTCCGCGTACTCAGCGCTGAACTCGGCCTCACCCTCCACCTGCAGCTCGTCTTTTGGCACTGCCGCATACCGCCTGTTCATGCTCATTTCCTCAGCCGTCCGGTACGGTGGTTCGAAATGACACCTGCGACGTCATACACGAAAAAATTTTATTTTTCTTTATTTTTATTATAACATCCGTATTGCTGTCACGATCAAAATAAAAAAAAATTCTAAAAAATGTTTTTATACAAATATCGAGTATCAAACAATTGTTTTTCATTTATACATTTTTTTGAAATTAAATTAATTTTTATTTTTTATGGTTAATTAAAGCTAAGTGGTACTCTACAAAATTTGAGGAGTACTATTTTACTTGAATAAGCTTTAAATTCTTATCAATAAAAATAAAACAATATTAAGTCCAATAGTACTTATAGTAATGTTACTTAAGATAATATACAGGGTTATCGAAATAAAATTTAAAATCTAATAAATTAAAAAAAAAATGTTTATAGGAACTTACAATGAATGACGTAAATACCTTATACCCATATAAAAATATTTTTTTTCAACCACGAAAACTGACTAACATAATATGTGTGTAATCTTTAGTATAAACTTCATATTATACGTATATACACTATTTACATATCATATTTTATTTTACTATAATATTATAAGAAACGCAAACAATAACTGTCATCATATATTTATTTCACTAAAATATAAGCGGTCAATCACTACAGTTATAGTCGCTACACTACCAGTTAAAGTTTTTGTTTTTCCTATGCTCAGTTATTTTTATTTTATTTATACTTCAATACTTGTTAAATAATTGAAATCTCCATTAAATAAGTATACCTTATAAACGCTATGCGTGCGATTATAACAACTTCGATAAAGTGGACTAAAGTATTAAGTTATTCAGGTAAAATAATCAATATTTAATGAACGTGTTTTTTGTAAATGTATATCTTTGATTTACTCATATATCTACGGTGAAAATGAATAAATAATCCGTCTAAAACCTAACCTAATCAAATATTATGTACGTTAAAATATTGCTAGGCTTGCCTGTACTCGGTGTCAAATGACGGAGTGGCCGATAAGCTAATCGGAGGCTGCGGTGGCGGTGCGACGACTCCGTCAGGTCCAGTCCCAAATTCCTTCCTTCGATACTTGTGCAACTGATCGACAGTCACTATCGGCTTGTGGTTATACCAGTGCTGCAGACGACCCAAAGACTGTTGACGGTGCACAGACGCCGGTCGATCTTGCTGAAGTTTCCTTCTGTTCTTGCCACTCTTCCGATACCTAAGTATTTTATTATATATTTATTATATTTATGTGTGTGTGTGTGTGTGTGTGTGTGTGTGTGTGTGTACGACAGGTTGAATGGCATAAAATATTAACGTTTATGGTCTGTACTTTTATTACGCTCTTAAAAATGTAAATGTTTAATATTATAATTTTTCATTATGAAAAATCATAAAATTTATGTTTATATGACACGTATAAAGATAGCTAGATACCTAATATTAAAATCATAAAAAAAATTGCCATAAGTTTAAAATATAATCTCAGTTATATTACACAGATTTCGTGACAAAATTACCAATTCTACGAAATAATTTTAGAATATTTTATTTACTTTGATAATTTGTATATTCTATTAACTGGCATGGTTTTATCATCCAAGATTAATTTAATATAAATTGGACTAAAAATATCAAAATCCTTTATAGATATTTAATTTTTCTTGAAGTATAAAATATATTTTAAAATAAAATAATGACGTTAAAACATAATATTTTATGTATAATTTAATTTAAAAATAATATTCGTTTTATCTCCAGAATGTCAAACATATTTCTAAACTATTTTGTGATATTTCACATTTCATAAAATATTTTCAAAATACAACATCTTAATCCTAGTATTGTAATTATACATATTTGTGTAAGTATAACTAAAAAGTTTTTGACATTTAGTTGTAATTAATAATTTAATCTAATTTTTTAATTTTTTAGTTTTAATTTTATTATATATTTATATTTCATACGTTTTATAATATATTATTATATCTGATATTTTCATAAATTGATATCTCTGATATAGTAATAAATCCTCGTTAAACAAAATGTTATTATTTAAAAATGCTATACTTGAATTAATAATAATGTATAACTCGATAACTGTAGAGTCATATTTTAATTAGTCGTATTTTAAAACTTCAAAAGTCAATTTCGATTACCGATTTAATAGATTAATGATAACACATTTATTGTGTTTTGTATTCACAATTAGAACTAGTACTATAGTTATAAGATTATGACTTACAGCAAACACCTAGTACACAAAGTAAGGGAAATATTGTTATTTAAATCGCTACTTATTTTAAGGTTTCAATGTCGATGTTATTCTTTCAAAATATAGCCTAAGATTACAACCAGAATTTTTCGATCAATAAAAATATTATGGTATCTTGTAATTTAAGTGTACTTTTGAATGATTTTATTCTAGAAGTCGACAACGACAAAAGTTTGAATTTCTATCTAAATGTCTTCAATTGTTGCTACATTTGACTTATGTAAAAATACTTTTAACTCTTTCTGTAAATGTATTCACCAAATAAAAATAAAACACTTGAAAAATTTAAAACTTTAAAAAAAAGTTCTTAGATTAAACCCTGCAGTCATATAAAAATAAGAAAAAATGATTTTGAACTATTGTTAATGTAACAAGTAGATAATTCTTGTAGGCTACCTGCAGGCCCGTAGTGCAAGAATAATCCAATATATATATATATATATATATATATATTCAATCGAATTAGTCTACAAGAATGAAGAATATTAAATAAAAACCAATAAAACAAAATGTTCTTTTGTTTAAATAATTTATGGCAGTGTATCATACTATGTTTGTCTAGCAATGTATTGCATAGGTACATAAATATCTTATATCTTTAATATTTACTTTAATTATATTTACAATACTTTCCCAGAATAAATTGAATGGAAAATTTAAAAGCATACTTGTTTTCGTAATGTTATTATTTAAAACGGCAATAAATGTAGGTAATAGAAAACAATATCGATACGATAGAGATTTGTTTAAATCCTTAAAATGTAAACTTTACATAGTAAAATTATTACTGTGAACTCAAAAGAATAAAAGTTTAGATTTTGTTAAATTTGTCACGAAAATACATTATATTGTATTGGTATTATTTTTTCAAAATATATTACATCAAAACCGTCGTCTAATAAATTTACCGACTATAACAATAATTATTCGATAATTATACAATATATTATAATATACAATATGCGTGTATAATAATATGTGATATTGTATATACTAATATATCGTGCAAATGACACGCAATTACTATGAAAAATCGTTTTAGCCTTGAATATTTAGGTTCACAAAATATTACATTTTAATAACTTGTGATTCCAAAAAATACTGATAAGTTTTCTCGAATACACTATAAAATATGAACGAAGTTTCACAAACTAATTTAATCAAAACTGACGACAGCAGTAACGTGTGGTATATTATATAAATTGTAATAATATTTTATTAATTCTACTGGTGCATGAAAACTTTGTCAGAAGAAAAATATTATCAATTGTTATTACAAAATGTGTTCTAAATAAAAATGAATATAACAGCTATAAATACTCACTATTTGCCACGATTGCTAAAAAGTGAATAAACGTTAATGAAAAAACGTATTACGTATTTATGTACGAATATGTTTGCAAAGAAAAATTACCACCCAATCGCGTCAAAGGACGATATTACAATCGCAAATAACTGTAAAAAGAGTTATAAATTGTTACATACTTAAAAGTTTTTTCCCCTTTTCAATGACTTCTTAATGACTACCGAACGCTGCATTTACCTTGAACTCAAATGAAATATAACGATAAATCATAATAAAACATTGATATGTTTTACAAACAAAATAGATACACCTGTCTGGCTGTCTATTAAAAAAAAATTGCTCACTGAAATTCTTATTTTAAAAATTTAAAATATATAAGAATGTATAATATTATATTGAGTTATGTTCATATTTTACGATTTGTATTTATAAGAACAGGGAACAAAATTCATATGATCACATCAATAATGATTTACGCATGAAAGACTATACTTAATATGATACTTATTATTTTAAAATATATATGTATATTATCAAAGTATAATAATATATTATATACATTATATATCTTCAACAATAAACGATTTAACATATATTTGTATAGTAACCGACCTTTCATTAATTTTGATCAGCTAATCAAATGAAATAATAATACATTTAATGTTTGATTAAAATAAATTGTAATAACAAATTAACCAAATAAACTATTTGTTAAATATTAAATTTATATACGTAAACATTTTCTTATTAATATTTATTCAAAAACATTTTCTTAAAACTTAAATTATTACCTACACTAAAATTTCGAGTCCATTTAGAAAATGGAAAAAGAATACAAAAAATACTGTTTCCGAAAATGAGGGAGAATGTGTAAATACTATTTATGATTAACAAAAATTATAAAATATTTCTAAGAAAAAAATAAATAATATTTCAATAATATAATCACAATAATATAACAAAAATGCACACATAATACATATCTCTACGAGTATACCAACTATAAATATACACGTATCAATGTAATCTGCATTTTGAATGGCTTTTAGTATAAAAGACAAAAGGCATACATTCCCATATTTCTAACACGTATAAATTATGTCACGTCTTTATTTTATCATAGTTTAATATCGAATATACAATACGAACGATATCAAATAACTGTTTCTGTAAAATTGTTTTCACTATCATCGTATACTCACTTTAATACAATAAAGCATACGAATATTGCGTACCTATGTACAATAATAATAATATAAGCGAAAGCGTACGTAAGAGTGTAAGGTGTATTGTATGGTTATAATATTTTAATGATATATTTAATATATTTCAATATTTACAGTATCATTTTTCTTTTTTTCCTTTTATGTATATAATATGCAATACCTTTTTTTGTAAAAAAATATTTAACAATTAAAAGTTGTACATTGCTGGTTTATATTTTAATCACTCGCGATGTAATAATCCTCAGATATTTCCATTTTAAACACACAAAATTTACCGATATGTAATTCACTTTTCCTAAATAATGTATTATATTATGGAGTTAATTGCGTTTTTAAGATTAAGATTGTTTAAAAATTGTGTAATGTATTCGTAACGCGATTATTAAATACGATTTAGTTAGTTATTATTACGTTTTTAAATCAACTAATCAAGATTTTCTTAGAATCATTTTTCTAATTCAATAATTTGCCGATTTTCAATGTTCTAAAATTTAAAAAAAATAATAATAAATTATCGTACGTTTTTATTTCTTATATTATGACGTATGTAATGTGAAACAAATCCCCCACATATTGCAATTTTTGATAAATTTGTCGTGGTTTATACTAATATTTACTTTTTGTACACAATTTTTTTATTGCTAAGTTAAAGTAGACTATATACCGGTAAAATTTTAAGAAAGTTTATAAATAAATAAATAACAACTGTACTTCGATAAATGAAATCTCAAAATTAAACTTCGCTTCATCTAATATGATTACACGTGGAACTCTAAAATGTGCATCAACAGCACTATTTTTATTGAAACAATTAAAAAATGCTTTTACCAAACTAAAAAGTAAATATCGATACTTCTTTCGTGTTAAAAGTAGATAAATGTGTGGTGTACATCAACATTAACCAAATGTGAATAAAAAATAAAAATAAAACAAATCCATGAAGTACTTATATACAAGAATCGCTGAAAATTATAGATTCCTACACCCAAAATATATAAATGTAATAAGCACGTCAAGTTTACTTTGAGTTTTATCAATATAAATTTAAGTTACAATAATAATTTCCAAACCAATGAATACGTCATATCTAAATAAGTTATTTTTTTATTACAACGTATTGCATAATTAATAATCAGGTAGCTATGTAGTAAGTTATCACTTATCAGTACTAAAATAATATGGTACATCTAAAAGTTAGATCAATAAGTAATAACATCGATACACGTAAACGTTAAAACAACAGCAATAACGATTTTTTCAAACCAGGAAATAATCATATCATCAATGTAATAATATAAATTTCTACAACCCGTAGTTTATGCAAGAATTTTATAGCAAGATACCAGTGTATTTTTTTTATTTTTTTTTATATATCAAAAAAAATAAAAATTTTAAATAAACAAAAATAGTTAAAGATATACTATATTCTTAAAGTCTCACCTGGACATAGTGTAACTGACGGTCGTCTTATAGTGCTAACCTGCAAACACTAAAATAGTTCTTTTCCCACATAAATACTTATTGTGCGGTTATCGTTTTAGTTTGAAGGTCGTCCGTTGTTTCAAGACTGCACCCTAAAATAGGTTACGGGGTCGATTTGTATCTACCAGATATGAAGTTTTGTAGACACGCATAATGTCTACGACAAACGTGGAAATAGCAATGCAACGCGAGGCTCACTCGAGAATAATTAATTTTACGGGAACATTGTACAGACATTATCACAATTAAATATAATTTAAACATTTGAACTTTTAAGTGATCGATGAACGGTTTAAATGTTAAAATACACTTTTGAACTTACATTTTAATTGTAAAGTATGTTTAGACATTGTTTCATAAACAATGACGACAGTCACATTAACACTTCTAAAACATAATAATTAACAACTATCTTATATATATATTATATCATACTTAATCGTTACAAGTATTGATAATAGTTTACAAACTAAGATAACCACTTTATATAATTATTTTTAGTGCAATAATAATAATCAGTTTAGGCAGAAAAAAAGAAGTCACTCTAAACAGACTCAGATTTGGTCATACAAGAGTCACTCACGGATACCTGATACAGAAAAAGGAACCTCTGTTATGCCTCTTTTGCCACACAACCATCACTGTAAGACACATACTAATCCATCGCTTAATCTTCAAGAACATCAGAAAAGAAATGAATTACAAATTCCAAACAACCTAATTTGAACCTATACAAGCATTTAAACCCTATGTAGACGTGAAACCAATCATAACCTGCTTAAAAAAATTGAAATATTTAACTAAATTTAACTTATTTCAATTAAATACCCTTCATTTATGTAATATTGTCAACTTAACCTGAAATAACTGTAAACTATTAACCTTGGTGTTGATGCTGTAACGATAAAAAAAAATAGTTATAATGAATTTTGAAATCGTTCGGTGATATTTAACTATACAATAAATACAATGAGTTAAATAAAAATATATTTATAATTACCGTATTCATTAAATCATAAACATTCAACAAGCTTATTACTGTGAAATATAGTTTTTAAATAAAATCTTGGTAAAAAAACATTTGATATTAATAAAAATATCTTTTTTGGAGCCTCGGCTTTAATGACCATTAATGTTTTGTATATTAAAAATTCTTTAAATTTATTACATTAGGTAGTTTACATTTTTTTTTTCAATATACATGATATAGTTTCCAATAATTTATCTAATTTAGAATTTCTAATGAATATTATTTTCTGCTATTCGTTGTCCTGGTTTAGTGCTTCTAACAGAATACTAGAAATCCCAGCTCCTTTTAAGATATTTTATTTTTACAGTTCACAATGTTCACATACATAAACGTAATATACGTAATTAATAACTATAGTATATGATAAATTTAGTTTTAAATGAAAAACATTATTTTGCTTAATTTTACAGTCAATATAGTATTACATATTATTGGATTACTTAATTGTGTATAAATATTTCCATTGTAATTTAAAAAAATCATAACACTATAATCAGCCTCGAATAATTTCCAAAATAGCAACAAAAACTCCAATATTTTTTAATTTATATTTCTGATTTTTTCTAAATATACATACAGGTTACATGTATAATAATAATTATTAATTATGCACTTGATAAATGTTTTATTACTCATATATACAAATAAACTTTGTGCAAATTCTATATTTATACGTAGGTGTTTGTACTTATCTCACGCTTCACTGCCAATCCTCTATGTTCGCGCTCCTGTCTATGTCGTGATTATTACTATATTCATTATCATTATTCAGTGCGCGATTTGTATTTTAATTAATACTCCATGTTGTGGACAAGAAATCGAAGAAAAACGAATTTCAAATACTAAATTTTCATATAAGTATATTTTTATATTTTTCGGAACATTCTCACAAAAAATTTTAACACGCCATATTTTATAGACGAGTTTATGTACCTATATCAATGCGAAGAAAAACAATTAATGTTATATTATTATCATTATTACAATAAACGGTTTCTGTATTTTTTTTTTCTATATTTCATAGTTAGAAGAATTATAAAATACTAATCATTAATGATATTAACGAAATTAAAATAGAATTAATTTTAGCAAGCTATAACAAGGTACCTATACTACTTGATAAGTACTACAAATAATTCTAAATAACACCCCTAGAAGCATCTTAGTATCTTTAGACAAAATCCAATTAATTGTAAATTACTGATATGCGTATTACCTCGAGGCACCACCAAATGTTTGTAATACCCAAAAAACGATAGACGCCTTTCATCAGACCAGAAGTAATGAGTCTAGTGATACATACAAATCATCACAATAATTTATTATTATTTTGTATCAAGAATATTTCATTATGAGAATATATTTTTTTAGTTCAACGATTTCGTGAATGATAAAATACTAAAAAAACTACAGCTGTAGTAATAAGTAACCAAATGTTCACTATAATACTTTGTCTATGCAATATCGTTTTATTTTTCCAATGCCTTTTTAATGTAAAAAAAAAAAAAGTTTATATGATATCACAATAAATTATACAGCAACACTATTGTATGGAGCCACTACTGAATCACTTAAAATTAGTAGGTATTTAATCATATTTTAGACTTGAATTTAAATATTTCTCAAATTTCATTAAAATTGCCTAAATCAAACCCCTTGAAAAACGGGCATCTAGTGACCTTTTAATATTTATAATTAATTATGAACATAATTATATATCCTAATTATAATACATATATATAATATAAAATAAATATGCTAGGGACAATAGTACTTCAAGACTAAATATATTTTAAATCACTTAACGTTATTTTGTTGAAATATAATTTCATTTATATCAAGTGGTGTGGTTGTGAGTGATTTTCAATGTATTGATTTCACAAACTTATTAATGACTAAATAGCATATTTTAGTAAATTCAAAAGTAAACTAAACATTTTTTATCAGTTAAGAGGCCTCGAATAAAATATAGTTAATGTATTAGATGTTTATAAGATATTTCTATTTTTTTTTTTTTTTTTTTTTAATAGAAAATTATTTAGTATTCTTTAAGTGTTACTCTATTATAAAGTTATACTAAGCTTTTTGGAACTTAACTCATTTTTCTAGTAATTATTTTGTAATAACTTGTAATTATTGACAATTTAAGTTTAATAATGTTATTTTTTATTGGTCAACCATATAGTTACTGATTAATTATAATTTTTAAAAATGGTTGAGAGTACCTATTTAAATGACTTACATACATTAGTGCTCAAAAATAATCTTATAATATTTACTAAATATTTATTAAACAATGACAAAAAAATCCCATTAAATATTGAAATATGATACATGTAGTATTTAGGCTACGTAATTATATACGTATTAAACGCATCATAATAATAAATAATTGTTAATTACCAGTAAAAACTTTCAAATAGATTAGAATTATACTATAATAATATTTTTTACAACTATAGAACTGTGATTGAAGAATTTATAACATATTTTATTCACCCCATTTTCATTACCAATCTGTGCCACGTGAGTTCTAAGGGAAATACAACACGGCGATACATTGAGCTATACATCAACGCCATGTGCTTACCGACATGATGAATTGCCTAACAATGTTCAAAACGCATATCCTGAAATATTTGTTGTCCTACCGATGTTGAACGCAAACAATCGATTTTGCTGGTTACACACACGCATACGTATATATTATGAATAGTCGATAGCAATTTAATACTATATACCAAACAATTACTGTACCAAAGTATAATTGATTAATTCTTTAGAGGCACCCGAACGATTAATAATATTATTAATGCCGTATCCGCTACGTGTGTTATAATTGTTATAATAAGCATCTAATCTGCTATGTACACACATGATATATATATATAGCCCTGCATTTATATATTTTGCGTAAAAACTCGTCAAACGTATACATTTTTAAATTCTAAATCCTAAGTAATATTATAAATTTATAATAATATCTTGATGTTGTGGCGCAATTTGTAAACATGTAGTAAGATAAAGGTAAACAATATATTATATTTCATGGCGTCTGACGTTGGGCTTAATTTAATAATAGTATTTATATAAATAGGTTATGTAGAACATGTTTAAAAGCTGTTTACTTAGTCGTGTGAAAGGTCAAGTCGAACGAAATGCCCTTGTATTGTGCCATAATATTGTCCAACGGCGAAACTATATTATTTGATCGCACTTAGCTGCACGCGTTATACCAATCAGTAACATGCTTACCCTAATTTAAAATTATTGATTCAATCAGGCCGTAAAATTAAGAATCCATTTCAATATTTGAATTTCAAACGAACTAAAATTTTAAACAGTTTGTTCATATCTGTTTATTATTACAGAAGACATAATATCAACTCGTTCGTTTTATATATTATAATTATGCTATATTATATTCAAAAATTATCTTATCATAGACGATGAAATAATAATTATTATTAACTTAGCTTGTTTCACCGCGAATATATATTTACCATATATTCTAAAGATACCAACATGTATATATATATGAATATATGATATACTAATATCGTTTTACTTAGAAATAATACACTAATATATGACTAGCAAAACAACTATAGAACTTTGTTCGGAATGAAAATAAGTGCCTAATAAGTTGTTTTATCGCTGAAATAAATCAATGTTTAATAAATAAATTGAAATATGTCTTAAGAATTTGCAAGTATTAAAATGCTTAAGGCTAAAACAAAAATTACATAACTAAGATGTCTAAACAGTAATAATTCCTTTTTTTTTTCAAAATATTTAATTTAAAATATAAAGGAATTTACTGTGAATAATATGCATTGAACAATTGAACTTTAATTGTATAAGTATTAGGTACAATTTAATAAGATTAAAACTAATACCTAATTTATGTTTGGAATAACTATAATCGGTATAAAAAATTTAATTTAAAAATAATGTAATAAATCTATCATA